GACACGCAGCCTGGTTGTGAGGGTGGACGATGACTGACCGGAGCGCGTGCGCTCAACGGCGTTTATTGGTGTGGTGAACAATGTTGCCCGCTGAGCCAGGCGGCCGCAGACGGGCGGACTGGAGGGGGGCGCCACTAACTTGTCACACTCCTCCCCCCCAGTTTGTTTCTCTAAAGAAACAAAATAACTAAATACACAACGCGCACGGCCGACACCAACTCGGCGTCTACTCACGCAAAGTCCCGGCCTGTCGACGATGACTGTCACCCCGGCGAGTAGCGGTCAGGTGGCCTCCGCTGCCGTGCACTCCGCCTAAACACTGGTGTCGACGGGCCAGGTGTGGCAACGACGGGCGCTGCCTGAACTGGTCGCGCTCCACCCGGTGGAGCTACAGGGACCGGATTTGGGTGTGGCACCGGTGCAACTGGTGCCACAGGACTGGCGACACTTGTCACCTCCGGGGTGGATGGCGCTCCGCTGGCCGCTACTGGTGCTGTTGTTGGGCCCCCTGCAGGCTGGTCGTCTGAAGCGACGGCCGAGGGTGCAAGCCAGGTCCCGAGGCGAGGCCTGAAATGGTCGGCGTGCCGGTGCCAGGTGGTCCCGTCGGGCATGCGGACGAGCAGCGACGAGGCACTCGCTGGTGAAACCACACGCCCGGCAGACCAGGGTGGGCCAGGACGAAAGTTCCTGGCGTAGACCGACACTCCCGGCTCCGGCAAAGGCCCGGGACGGCACCCTCGGTCAGCAGCCAGCTTCTGCTTCAGCTGCTTCAGGAGCGCCGTGGACCGGAGGTCTGGATGCAAGACGTCCAGGGGGGTCTTGACCATCCGGCCCAGCAGAAGCTCGCAGGGGGCACGGCCAGTGACCTCGTGAGGTGTGGTCCGGTACTGGAACAGTACCCGGGCCACCTGCGTTCGGAAATCCCTGGGCTGGCTCTTCTTGAGCTTGTCCTTGATGGTCTGTACCACCCGCTCTGCTGCACCATTGGAAGCGGGGTGGTACGGCGGAACCAGCATCCGGCGGATCTTATTCCTCTGCAGCCAGTCCAGGTACTCGGCGCTAGCGAAAGCGGGACCATTGTCGGACACAATAATGTCCGGCAATCCCTGCGCCGCGAAGACCTGCCGCAGAACCGCAATGGTCGCGCTTGCCGATGGACTGGTTACTGGCAGTGCCTCCACCCACTTGGAGAAGGCGTCCACTACCACCAGGAAGTAGTGGCCCTTGAAGGGTCCCGCATAGTCCACGTGCAAGCGGGACCACGGCCTCTGTGGGAACGGCCAGGGGGTGATCTCCACGTGGCGCGAGGCTCGCTGGTTCTCCTGGCAGACCTGGCAGCCTTGCACCTGGTGCACGATGTCCTGGTCCAAGCCAGGCCACCAAACGTGCGACCGTGCCACCATCTTGGTCTTTTCGATGGCAGGATGCCCCGCGTGCAGCGACTGCAGCACCGTGGCCCGCAGACTGTGTGGAATCACTACCCTGGAACCCCACAGGAGGCAGCCTTGCTCCAAGCTCAGCTCGGCGGTCTTGTGGCTGTATGCCTCGTGACGCAGCTCCTCCCCTCGGGAAACAGCCTTGACCACCCGAGACAGGACCGGGTCCCGGCTGGCCGCCTGCGCCACCGCAGTCCTGGTGAGCACCCCCGGGTAGGCCCGCTCCAGCAGGAAAACGTCAGCTGGCCCTGGAACGGCAGCAGGCACCTCCGGCAGGGGCAGGCGGCTCAGGGCGTCGGCAGGTCCCAGGTCCTTCCCAGGACGGTAGACGAGCTTGTAACTGTAGGCCGCCAGCGTCAAGGCCCAGCGTACCACTCGAGGCGAGGCTTGCACTGGGACTGCCTTGTCAGGTCCCAGCAGCCCCAGCAGCGGCTTGTGGTCCGTGACCGCCTCGAACTGCCGGCCCCACAGGTATTGGTGGAAGCGCTGGACCCCGAACATGACGGCCAAGCCTTCCTTGTCGAGCTGGCTGTAGCGTTGCTCCGCCGCATGAAGCCGACGAGAAGCAAACGCCACAGGGTGTTCCTGACCATCCTGACCCCGGTGCGACAGGACGGCTCCTACCCCGTACGGCGACGCATCCACGGTGAGGACTACAGGCTTGGCCGGGTCGAAGTGCACCAGCACTGGAGCCTTAACGACCAGCTCCTTGCTGCGCTGGAAGGCCAAGTCCTGCCCCTTCTTCCAGGCCCACTGCTGACCGTCACGAAGCAGACGATGCAGCGGCTCCAGATGCGTCGACAGGTTGGGCAGGAGCCTCCTGTAGAAGTTGATGAGGCCGAGGTAGCTCTGAAGCTCCTTCTTGCTCAAGGGCTTCGGCACCCTGAGCACGGCCTCAATCTTGCGGGGTGCCGGGGCCAGGCCAGCCTGGGAGATGATGTGTCCCAGGTACTCCACGCTGGGGGTCAGGAACACGCACTTGTCCAGCCTCAGCTTGAGACCGGCGTCCTGTAGTCGTGTCAGGACTTTGCGCAGGTTCTGCAGGTGGTCCCCGTCGTCGGTACCGGTAACCAGGATGTCGTCCAAGTACACCGCCACGTGCTTCATGCCCCTGAAGAGGTTGTCCATCTCTTTCTGGAAGATGGCTGGGGCTGAGGCCACGCCGAACGGCAGGCGCGTGTACTGGAAGAGTCCCATGGTTGTTGAAATGGTGACATACTTCCGGGCGGCATCCTGGAGCACCAGCTGCTGGTAGGCATCTCGAAGGTCGAGCTTGGAGAACTTCTGTCCCCCGGACAGAGCCGACCAGAGATCTTCTACCCGAGGCAGCGGGTACTTCTCGACGGTAGCGACGGGGTTGATGGTGACCTTGAAGTCCCCGCAGATCCTGACGCGGCCGCAGACGGGCGGACTGGAGGGGGGCGCCACTAACTTGTCACACTCCTCCCTGTTCTTCGTAGACCGGCCAGGCGGACCCATCTCCCTCGAACGGCTCGAGCCTCCCGTACAGCGGCATGGCGACAGGAGCGGGGGGCGGTGTTGCGACTCTCTCGGCGGCGTGGGCCGAACCGTGCACGTTGGTGGACTCCAGTGCCACGGTTCCTCGTCGCCAGTGTCACGATCTTTCTAGAACGTGGACGAAGGGGGCCGAAGCACCCGCCGAGGAGAAACGACACGCAGCCTAATTGTGAGGGTGGACGATGACTGACCGGAGCGCGTGCGCTCAACGGCGTTTATTGGTGCGGTGAACAATGTTGCCCGCTGAGCCAGGCGGCCGCAGACGGGCGGACTGGAGGGGGGCGCCACTAACTTGTCACAGGTACTTTATATTTTATTTTATTTTTATGTAATTACACGTAACATTCTACATAGGCTCCTTGTTTGTGACCCCGTCTCCGCGTGTGCCTCCCCATGACCTCCTAGATGGTCGGTGCGAGCACGGCAGCTCTGGTGTGGCCGTTACAAATTCTCGGCCACCCAGCAGAAGAGGGATTCAATAAAACTATTTGCTAATGCTTGAAAACTGAGTACGATCGCCCCTGCTTCGTGAAGCCCTAGCTAAAGAGCTAGGTATGAGGGGTACGAGAAAAAAGAGAGCTGCACTGAATGCTCTCCTGAAAGCCTGCTTCACACACGAAGCCTGGAGGGGTGTCCAGGGCAGCCTTGTGGTGATGTGGCGTCCCGCTGAGATGAGTCTACTGTCGCGTTCATGCAGGCTTGGTTGTGCCCTCTGGGATATCAGTCCACGCTGCTTCGTGGTATGCTTGCGGCACCGGGCAGTCCCAGAGGAGGTGGATAGGTTGGCAGGTCGAGCTTTATCGGAAGACAATGTGGATCGACTGCAGTGCCCAAGCTGAGGTTGCTCCTTACGCCCAGCTGGAGAAAAGTCTCGTGGTGCTTTCGAAAAACAAATCGCCCTGCCCTGCGTTGTGAGCCTCAGGCACCACCGCACGGTGGCAGTAGACAAATGCCTTTTCTCGACAGTACGACGCTACGGAAATTATTTCAGGGAACGGCGTCAAAAAGTCCACGTTGTGGGAGGTTGAAACTGAGCCAGTGACTTGCTGCTGAATTATTTCGTGCTGTATAACGAGCGGTTAGCTTCCGTTAGCGTCCCCTCCCTAGAAATGTAGTGATCGAAGATATCTCTGCGCACCGGTAATCTCGAAGGCCATGACCTCCCTCACGAGTCAGAGGCCCCTCACAACACTCACAACAAGCGCTACACTACTGGCGGCGACTTAATCAAAAGGCCTCTCCACTTCATCGTTTATCCTGAAATAACTTTTGAACGTTTTTGCCACTGTTGGAAGAGATAAGTACAAGTGATCGGCGGGCGGAATACTCAAGTCGTAAAACGAGGCGGTGCGTTTTCACGAATGCACTGAAAGCGAGAGTAGTCAGACCGTTCCCACAATTTAATAACGGGTGTGCTTAGGGTAACATTTATCACTTGCAAAACATTGTGTTTTGAGTAGATATATTACGTCATTTATGATATTTGCCGGTTCATAGTCTTAAAAACCACCCATGACGGCCAAGCATCGAAAAGAACAAAAAAAGGTGAAATCGCTTCTTACAGCCACAACCAGAAAGTACGTTCGCTGTGCACCGTAATGCATGGCCGGCGAAGATCTGAGGAAGGGCAGCGGTGTTTGAAAATTCAACTTTGTAAACAGCTATTTTCTGCCAAGCCCTCTGTGCTAAAAAGACGGCACCAGCAAAGCAATCTCAAACACGCCCTCTTTGCACGACTGCAGTCTCATATCTTGTTATTTCGTCCGCTGGACAATCTCTAGTTTCTGTTGATACATTTTAGCGCCAACTGTACATTCTGCAGCATACAATTCGTGCTATCAAATTCGTCTTGCTCATAAGGGCAACTAGCAACGCGTCCACCAGGTGAATTCGACGCCGTCACGTTGAAGTCATGCGTATAACGCAGATAAGTTTCTTCATAAATTCAACTGAAGAAAGCAAAACTTTTTTTCAGGTAAATTGTGGAACCTGTGCGCATACACTGCAGCAGCACTAAGTCAGGAACAATCGATTCCGTTCCCCCAGGTGCTCATGTCTTCTATGGGAATGTATGCGTTCGCGGTCCTGCTAGCCATGGCTATCCACGGGCTCCTCTTCCTGCCCCTGATCTACATCAGCGTGACCAGGCGCAGCTTTAGGGAGTTGCTGTCCAACGTGGCGCTTCCGCTAGTGATGGCCTTCAGCACGGCCTCTAGCATGTCCACGGCGCCGGCCACCATTGCCGTGCTCGAGGAGCGCCGGCGGCTCGATCCCAGACTCGTGCGGCTCCTAGTACCGGCGGCGTCGGTGATCAATATGGATGGCACGAGCATCTACATAACGGTCAGCACGATCTTCTTCGCCCAGGTCCATACCACCGCGCTCTACGTCTACGACTACTTCCTTATCGGGTACGTTGTTCTCGCATAAATATCAGCTCGCTTATAGCAGTCTTGTAAGGCTGTCTGAAAACGCTGCTCAGACACAAAAAATAAGGGGGTACATTTAAGAATATAACACGTTGGAAACAGCAAACTTATCAAGGTGGAATAACTATCGATGGGAGAGCCTGGAAAGATATCTGCAAACGTGTTCAGGGAAAACAAGTAGGAAGAGCTGAATTTGCATAGCGTGTAGCAGCGTGAGTAAATAGCTGTTTAATATGTCCAGCCAATTTACTCTTTAGAGAGTTCGTCGCAAGTATACTACTTGATTTTAAAACACCAAAAAATTGCTTTAAAATTTCAAGACAAGCTTTTCTGGTGCATTCCCACTGGCGTTCTAATCGTCACCGCGAAGCGGATCCACTCGTTTTCATCATCAGCCGTGAGGACGCACTGCATCTTGAAGAAACCGCGTTCGTAACCGCTTCGCGAATGCGGTTCAGCCGTCACTGGGAATTATTCATTACTGTTGTGGACATTTAATAGAACGTGGGAACATATTTCCTCTTCCCATTTTACGTGTGTTTCAAAATCACCGCAAATTTAGGTGCCCGTAGCTAGGCAGTTCAGTTACTGAATGTATTGCTGCATACGTAAGCGTGCTGCTTCTGTTTCTAGCGCGCAAGATGGATGATGATTGAAGGGTTCGACACTTTCTGAAGTATAATACTGACGATAACACTCGTATGTATGTTCACTCGATGCTGTATACGATAGCAACTTTAATTTTTTTACGACAAATACAAGTGGTGAAAGGGAGGGCAGAGAGAAGGCCTCAGAAGTGCAGCCTGACGAGTCTCCGGGCCTCCCATTCATCACCTACGACAGAGTGCGTAGTCACTGGTCAAGCAAAGAGGAAAATCATAAAGTGATTATATAGCTGTGTGATAATTTTATAATATCTATGCTTTTACAAAAATAGTCGTTCAGTAGAGATAGTAAAGAATAACTTTTTTTCATAGTAGTGTTTTCTCGATGAGTATTGATCACTTTTTGAAAGTAAATTAGCCTGCTTAAGAAATATACATGAACGTCCATATGCAGCGTATGTATACGCCATGGTTAAATGGTAGTTGTGAATTTGGTCGATTTTGAGAAATCTGTATAATTTGAACAATGGTTGCTTATGATGAATATAGGAATCGTTTACTATTATTCTAATCATATTTTTTGCAATAAGTGTATTGTCTAAGTTTGAAAAAGATGTATTACCCCACCCGTACAAAAATGTCAGAAACAAGCCGGAATAAAAAATTCTGGCTCCGCTGAATCTGTAATTGGGGCGCCTATTTGTATCCCGCCGGGAACCGCGCAGTTCCAGATGGGATACAAACTGGTGCCCAAATTTGAGACACAGACGGTGCGCCGCCGAAATTCCCGCTGCGCTCGCCACTGGACTGTACAAAAGTATTTAGCGCGATGCCCTCAGCTGTTACAAGCGAGAGGTCGTTGCGATTTCAGACCCAGTCGCCTGGGTCTCAAATTGCGACGACCTCTATTTGTAACAGCTGAGGGCATCGCGCGAAATACTTTTGTAGAGTCCTGTGGTGAGCGCAGCGAAAATTCCGGCGGCGCACACGGTCGTCCAAGCGTCGTCAAAAATACGGTGCGCAGAACACGCACACAGCACGCTTAAGCACAGCATGCAGTGATGGGCGCATCGAGAAGTTCCGGCGGGCAAGCGGTATTCGAGTTGTCCAAGTATTGTCACCAAGCGCACCAGCGCATCCAGGTGCCGAGCCAAACTGCAATGGGTCGGCAGCTTCATACTATACAGTATAAAGATTCAAAGCCGAGGTCAGTTGTTATCTATCCAGGGCAACGATGGGCGCGTCAGAATCCGTGCGCCCGCAGCGCGAACTTCGCCGCCGGGCGAGAGCCAGCCGACCGTTCGACCAAGAGGGGAGAAGAACCAAAACTCTCGGAGCGCTGCCGCCGACTGCAGGGTTGTTAATGTGTTTGTAGTCAAAGTAGCGAAATCAAGTGCAGAAAGTAGTCAATAGTAGCCATTTTATTCGGGATTTTGCCAAACAGTCGCCCCACCAAATAATATAAAGGTATTAAAAAAGAAAATAAATAGCGAACACTATATTAAAGCTTAATAACTAGCAGTCTTGAGCTTACTGCACACACGTGTCGGCCGTATTCGGACGTAATCGCCTAAATGTTTAGAAGTTCAGCGTGAGGGAGAAAAGCTTTAAACGCTTTAAAGTAATATCAGACACTGCAGCTAATTTCTAGTAGATGCTGCTATGGTTTGCAGTCATTTTCCGGAGCCCTTCATCTTTGGCCATGTACATCTTGACGATGTTTTCTGCTGCAGTCGGGGGCCAAACTTAGGGCATTTCGCGGCAGCATCCCTGAAAACCAGTGCCTGGTACAAAAATCTTAATGCAGAGCTCGTCTCGTTCCTGGCAAAAGCAGACCGCAGTAGTCGGATATCCGCTTCCAGCTTATTTCTAGAGGTGCTGAAAAAGTGAGAATGCAAACTGAAAATCTTCCAGCAAGCATTAAGCCCGAGTACAACCTCCGGGCTGATTGCTTGAAGCTTGCGGAGTATAGATGCTGCGTTAAGGCCCGTTCAGACTCTTGCAACCGAGTACGACCGAGAGAGACGAGACGTGTTGAAACCTCCTAAAATTTTTTAGGACGAGGGAACACACTGGCATTCTGGCGCCATCTAAGCAGTGACCCTGGAACTGCATTTCACGAGAGCGAAGGTTTTGCGGAATTTCCGAGGTTCTCGGCAGGCAGTCCGCTCGAAGCAAGCCATTCTAAAAACGCTGACCCGGGAGCGTGTGCAGGGTTCATGTAATGCTCTCCATGTATTTCACATCCATCGAGAGCAGATAGCCGCTTGAGTTAAGCCGCAATACGGCAGGCTTCAAGATCCGTTTCAGCAAGTCGATGTAGAGGTTTTCCACTTCTTGAAAGAAGCTTAAGTGGGTCAGCTGTCTGACTTTGAAACAACTTGTTCACGCGTTTCACGCTCTGGAGCGCTGCGGCCACAAAAATAAAATAAACGTGGTTCCGAACGTCATGTCTTTTTAATCATGTCATTTCTAATAGAAATCAGTCCGTAAAAATAAACGCTCCTGCTTCTTATCAATGTTTAGTATCGTCTGGTGTACCGCAGGGGAGCGTCCTCGGGCCTCTTTTGTTTTTTATATATGCAAATGACCTACCTTCTTCATTAACGTCCACCATTAGGCTTTTCGCTGATGATTGTGTCATATACAGATAGATATTCGATACATCCGATCATTTAATATTGCAAAATGACCTCGACAGGATTGGAATTTGGTGCACCGACTGGCTCATGAATATTAATGTCTCAAAAAGTAAACACATGAACATTTCACACATCGCCAAGTAGATCGTATACCCAGTATTCCCTCCAAGGACGCAACACTGACAGGGTGTCCGTTTACAAGTACCTTCGTGTCCACTTTTCAGAAACATTAAACTGGTCTCATCAGGTAGATAGAAAGTGCTCATAAAACCCTCGGCTTCTCGAAAAGAAATATTTCTCACGCACCTCCGTCCACTAAATTGCTCTTGAGGATAGACTGGAGTTCGTCCAGAATAAGGCAGCCCGATTTATTAACTCTGATTATTCTCCATTCACTAGCGTCACGTCACTAAAAACAATCTCGGTCTACATTCTCTTGAGAAACGTCGGCGGCTGTCACGACTATGTTTGTTTTATCCCATTTTCAATAGCGCATCAACTCTTAGGCAGACTTACTGCAAACCGCCCTCCTATACATCACCCAGAATGGATCACCAACTCAAGATTCAACCACCCAAATCACGCACACTATTATTTTCCTCATCGCCTGTTGTCATGTGCATCAGAGATTGGAACGATATGCCATACGAAGTAGTATCGGAGGTTAACCTAGCAGCATATAAATTAAAATGTGAACAGTACCTTGGAATGAGCAATCAGTAATCAGTCTCTACCTTGACATTTATTTGCCTTGCACGCTGTTGTACATTTGTGCATTTTCATCTTGATTTTTTTGCGTGAACTTTTTTTTTGCTACAATTCAATTATGTCGCAATGTATGAAATTGCAATGTCATATCATGTATGTGTTCGTTTCCCTGCCCTTTTGTGTGCACGCTTTCCCCAATGCATTTTTGTGCGTGTTATTCTAAGGCGTAAATAGTATATACGCGAAAATACTGTTTTGAAGTTGAAAATGTATATTATGAATTTCCCCCTCATGTAATGCGCTCGCAAGTCGAGTGCCTTTGAGGTAATGAAATGAAATTAAATGAAATGTCTCGGAGAACGCGCGCGTTGCATTTGCGCTCGTCGGTGTTTTAGAAAAACTTCTTCAATCTCCCAAATTGTCCCATAATCCTTACAATACATTCTGCAATCGACAACCATCTTGTTGGTGAAAATGACAGCAGCTTGGGCGGTTCTGCTGTGTTTGTGGCACCTTAAGAACACTGATGTACACGTCTCTGTAGGCAGCTTGTCTGTTGCAGCTGTTGACGAAGTAATTCAAGGATTCACACGTGATGGGATCTCGTGCGAAACCACAGCAGTCAGTGCTGCCCTAACGGCACAACCAGTAGCATCATACTTAATTGCTTTTGTGCGTATGCATCCAATAACAATGGCGAACACAGCGGGCCGTGTCTATCCAATGCGCGAGTAAGAAACTGAAACTATGCACTTCCGCTGGCAGCGCACCGACCGTCATGCTGCGAAAGCAGTGAAAAGTTTCATTCTTTATTCTTTTCAGTCAGCCTGCCCGTTTCCAGCATTGAAAGATACATAAGCACAGCTTGCAGAACGAGCACGATTTGGCCCGGAAACGGGTCTGTGCGCTACTGCTGAGAGCCGCAACGACCCGCCGAGAGTAGCCGAAAATTCGCAAAATCGCCAGGTGTAATTTTGGTAGCCAAGCACCCCCAAAAGTAGCCAATTTGGCGAAAAGTAGCCACCAGTGGCAACCCTGGCCGACAG